GGGGCAGAGCGGCATGGCATGGCACAGCGTGTCATCGGAGCGGTTCCAGAGGGATCGTGGCTCCCCAGCAACGCTCCGTGCCACCGCCGCAGCTTCGTGCCCTTCCGGATAAAGCAGCATGCGGAAAAGCGGTTTTGCGGGACAGCTGTAGGGTCAGCACGGGCTTCTGTCAGCACAGCTGGGGCAGGTCACCTCCCGTCTCAGAACAAGGGGAATTCGAGGAGACGCCGGTGTTAGAAGTGACAAGCCTGAATTGCGTGTCATATCAAAAACCTGCAGAATTTTTTGTGACATCATGGAGTGACAGAACAATTGTCACATCCCCAGGAAAAAAGTCAAACATCCTATAGCAGATGAGACAGTTGTGATTTTCATGTGGAAAATATGTTCTGCAGAACAAACTTCTGTCAAATACAATAAAAACCATATTAATTTCTCAACTGAACAACATGCAATTTTTTTTGCAATTGTATATCCAAATGGCTTTATAAAGTGCTAAATTTCTACATAACCACAGAGTCAGAACCCAAAAGCCCATAGCCTCTTAGCTAGATGTTTCTGAACTACCCATGCCTGTAAAAAATCCAGACTGTGAAAGAAATTGCAGGTTGCAGCAGGGCTCCCCCACACAGCCCTCTAGTTTCTCTGTTCCGTGTGCCGCTCAGTCAGATTTTCTCACGGCGATTCACCAGGGTCACTTTCATAGCTATTTTGTTGGGATTTGCAGCAATGCTGGCTTTGAAGGGCTCCATCCTCACTTTACTGAAGGTGGTGAAGATGACCGGATTCCGAAGGTTTAGCTACCACAGCTGCTCCCTTGCCCAAAAGACCTGCGCACAAGATGTTACCACTTCTTGTTATGATGTTGTCCCGCTGAAAAAATGCAGAAAACTGAGGGAGATGGAACAGTTTGGACAAGGGGACATGTTAAAATCCTATGGTAGACAAGGCAGTTTTAATCCACGCAGCAGAGGAGCCGAGGCGTGACGCAGCCAGCCACAGCAAAGCAGCGTGTGCAACCGCAGCTACTTTTTGTGGGCTGCGACCAAGCGATGCCAAGGAAAGCCCTTTGCTCCCTCCTCCCGAGGGCCAGCACGACGACCGACGGAGCCTCTGCGGGCTGCGACAAGCAGAACCTAATTTTAGTAGCCAGACCATATGGCTTCTGCTATAGCCAAAAAAGTCTACAGCGAGCTTATATAAATTCAAGAAGGGAAGCAGCATACCTGGAGTCAAATACAAAATCAGTAACGCTTCAGAAAACATTCTCTTTGATACCTGTTTTTCTCTACATCCACGTATTTTTAGCTTGATACAGATTCATACAACTGAAGTTTATTTGGCCTTTCAAAATGTCTCTTTCCTCTTTTTCATAGACATAAGTATTAAAACCAGAGCAATCAACTACATATTATTTTTTTAAAATAGATTGATATTTGATATTTGCAAAGTGTGCTTAAATCTACACACGAATTCTGTTCCTGAAATTTATTCCTGCACGTACATATGATTGGCTCCTGTTCTTTCTTTTTCTTTTTAAAAAAAGAAAAAAAAATCAGCTACATTTTTTTTACTGATCATTTCTAGGCAAGGAAAATCTTACTGTCAGTTTGGGCAAGAAATGGAATTAACTATAAACATGCTGCTAATGCTCATCTAATAGTCAAAGTCAAGAAGAAAAGCAACAATTAGCCAAACAAGCATAATAGTATTAGCCAATGAGCTACTAATACTATTTGCTGGACAGGACTGTCTTCTGAAAAATTATGATGGGCTTTTTTTAAAATAAAAGAGCAAGCCAAGAGCCACCAACAACTTGCTGTTTCTATCCATTCTGGTTTTTATTTCTCTCCTTCTTTTCACATCACTCTGTAATTCAGGTACACTAAAATATATTCAACAAGTTGCAAGTTATCAAAATTATAAATATTAAAATCTTGAACTGGGTGACTATCATTCATTTCAGCCTCTTTCTGTTAACCTGTTTATGACAACACAATATTGTTCTGCAGGCCTATTCATAGCACTGAGATGAGCTTAAAACATTTTGCTGGTGATAAGAGTTAGATGGGAGCTCGCTGGCACCGCTCTGCTCACCAGCGGCAGCAGACATGCCGTGCTGCATTCGGTTTGGAGACAAAAACAATTACCGTGAAGAACAATATGGAAAGCATGAGAAGTTGTGCAGTACATTTACATGATGATTCTGAAACCCTTTCAAAGGCCGTGCAGCTCATGTTCTTGGAAACATGAGGTCTTTTGAAATGTGCACACATGCCCTGACACGAGACCTGAGAGTTTTGCTTCTGCATGATTCTCAGAGGGCTTCCTCACTCCAAACCTCTCCACTTGTTGTGGCTGAAGCCATTTCAGTTCCTTTCAGTCCAAGATAGCATCTGAAAGAGGCTGAGAAAGGGAACAGAAAGGCAGACTGGATTAATTAAAAAACAAACAAACAAAAAATTGAGAGCGCGCCCCCACAAGCAGTCTGGCAGGAGAGCTGCTAGGGGTCACCCAGCGACATTTTGGTGAAGAGCGAGTCAAATGACTACAGCATCGCACCGCTGAAAGCTGCATAAAGAATAATGGCATGCTTGTTGAAGACACAGGAGCCAAACAACTTCACAGCAAAGACCTGGAGAGAAAACCTTGC